GGGATGATGGGGGGTGGGGAACCTGTGGGGCCAGGGGCAATGTGGGGGGCAACATGCCCACAGGGGCCAGGGGCACCATTTCCCCTAAGGTCAGCCCTGGGCAGCTCTTACCAGGGCCTGGCTCCAGCTTCTGGCCTGGCTTGGCCTGGTGGGGGGGAAGGGGCAAGGGTGGGGGAGAGGAGAAGCAGGGGGTGGGGCCCCAGGGTGATGGGGAAGCAGTGTGGGGGACCCAAAAGTTCTTTGTGCCAAGGGCCCCAATAAATCTTAATTCACCTCTGCCGCCCCTGTGTGACACCCGCTGGGGGAGGGGGTGGCCAGGATGCTGGGATCTTCCCCCAAGCAGGGCTGGTCTGTCTAGGATCTGACCCCAGATCCCCCCCAGGCAGAACCCCGCCCCAGGCACCTGACTCCTTGACTCTTCTCTACAGGTTTGTCCACCCGGATGAGATAGGCGGGCCCAGAGGCTGGTGAGTGGGGCAGGGGGAATGGATGGGACATGGGGCCCTTTCCCCCAAGGGAGCCCTAGCAGTGCTCAATTTGTGCCAGGGCTGAGCCCCGGCACCTCCGGGCTGGGCCGTTGAGAGCTCCGGCACCTCCGGGCTGGCTGCATTAGTTATGAGTGTTAAAAAATGGCTTGAGCCCCGGCACCTCTTTCACTCCAGATTAAAGACTGGGCGCTGGCTCTCATCGGGCCCTGGGGGAGGGGGATGGGACTGGCTGGCTTAGGGAGGTGGGGAATGGGGCATGGGGTTTTCCCCTCTAGGGGGTGCCATCTCCTATGAGTTCTGTGGGTCCGAATTCCCACTGTGGCAGTCATCCACATTACATAGAGACCAAGGTTGGAAGCCAGGACACCTGGGTTCTATCCCCTGCTCTGGGGGGAGAGTGAGGTCGAGGGGGTTAGAGCAGGGGGGCTGGGAGCCAGGACTCCTGGATTCTCCCTTGGGTGGGGCAGTGTTGCTCATTGTTCATACATAATCCCTTCCCGTTTGCTCTCTGTGCAGGTCTCCCCAAGGCGCAGACCCCTCCCTGGATATGAAGAGTGACCCCCTTCTTCCCCCGTCCCATGCTGCATAGCCGTAGCACTTAGCCTAGACCAGGCCCCCACGCTCTGATCGCAGCCTGCAGAATCTGATCCAGCCAGCAGGGGGCAATAGGGACACACACACCCAACAGGTCTGATCTCCTCCAACAGGGGGCAGTAGGGACACACACACACACACACACACACACACACACACACACACACACACGAGGACATACACACACGCGCAGAAGGTCTGAT